TTCGTTAATTTCAAGTAATTGTGTAATTACTACAAAATATTTGTTTAATTACTACGATCTTTGTGGGAAGTAACGCTAGGATCCGTCCAGTTCCGAAACGTCACTAGGCACCCAGTGCCTTGGGACGTTTTCGTCGGCCGATTTTTAATTGTTCTGTCACATGACGAAGAAAGCATTCATACAATAATGAAGACACAATGTGTCAGTTTCCTGGCCAAAAGGAGACAAACTCCACAGCCCTAGTTCACCCGACAAGCGAACCTAGTGTCACCTTCTAGGATGGTACTCGCAGTAGTCACCACCCTTTTTTCTAGTCTTCCTCGAGTTATTTTCGTTCCCCTCGTTGTGTTTTGTAGCGTGCACCTTGCCATCTCGTCCGGCAGGGCGTAGGCCTCGTCATAATTAGTCTTGCTCTTGCCCCATTTTCATCTCATCGTGTTTTTTTTTTTTTTTTTTTTTTTTTTTTTTTAAGTCTTTGAGTGGACTGGAAATTGGCAGACTGCATAATAATCCTTTTTCAACCGAGAGCCAACATATTTTATAAAAATAAAATTTTTCCGCGAAGTGTTTGAATTTTAAACTTACGTCGGCCACGAGGCTTCCAGGAGACGATTCTCTCCTGGCAACAATGAAGAATCCCTACTTTTCTTGACCCGTGTACGTCACCGGCGGGCAGGCGGACGAGCGACCCGGGCAGCCACACAGCGGATATTTGGGCTCCAGCGATCGAGATTATTATTCACAGCTTCAAGGTTGAAAGTTCCTTAGTAGTAGGTTGCACTCCGCAATATATCCTAGGAACAGTGCCGGGAAAACCTTCGTTTTTACCCTTGTTTTCGTGCGAGAAAACAATGCTCTCCCTGGCAGCAATGCAGGACAGCCTCGTCAAGGTGCTTCTGCGCCAGCTGTGTGCCGAGAGAACCAGTGTCGCACATCACACATGGGCGTCTGCAGAACTTTTTCCAGGGGGGTGCATACTTATCGCCCCCCCCCCCCCCCCCCCCGTAATGATGACGATGTTGGCTATTTTCAGCACGTTTCCACGTTACTCTCTACCTGCTTTCACGGCCGCATCCTGAATTTGGGGCTACAAACCAGTAATCTCAATGACAATTGCTGGATCGCGCTTCCCGCTCCCGCGAGTGAAGCCCCCAGACGGCCATCTTGCATGTCGAAAAATTGCGTTTTCGGAGCGTTGCGGAGGCTGGCGGCAGCATGCTGAGGACGTTTTCTACTCGCTCGTCATCATTCGCCGAAGTTCTTTTAAACCCAGTGTATGCCATGAGACTTCTCGTTGAGAACACGTGGAATTTTTTACGGAAGCGCAGTGCCGCAGGAAAAAGGCACAACGCGTAGAAAGCAAGTTTCGCTAGTATCGCGCGGCGTAATCAGAACTTCCTTAACAATTTTTTTTTGCCGCATAAGTTTTTTTTTTAATAACCATTTTATAACTTTCAGATACTAAATAGCCTGTTGGGAACAGTAAATCCATGGTATTCAGAAAATGTAGTTGGCTTGAGTAGCTAAAAAAACGCCGGTGTACCCATTAACTGGTGTGGGTACAGCTCCCCCCCCCCCCCCCCCTCTTGCACCCCCCTCAAAATTCCAGAGGGGAGCAACTGCACCCCCTTGAACCCCTCTGCGGACGCCCATGGTGTCACATGAAACATTCTCGCTTGTGCTTGGAACACTTTATAGCCGCGTGCTGCGAGTTGAATATCCTTTTGCAGCCATAACTAAAGTCACTAGATAGCTGGAACAGCTTCAACAGCGGCAAGCGCAGACTCAAGCCGGCTGCGACCACTACGACATCCGTCTCAAGAGAAGAGCTAATAATATCGAGACAAATAGTGCACATTCTAGTACTGTAGTTGACATTACTCACATTCGTTGTTAAGAATTGCTTCGGTAATTTTTTTTTTCATAAACATTATATTTGTTTCGGACACCGAATTGGGCTACTCTCGGAGTTCCAATCACACGGCCGATCTGTAAAAGACGGGGATTGAAACGACTAAACAAAGTTCAAGTCTTGGTTCAGGCATGGCTTTCGACACACTGCTATTTGTGTCTGGTATTACAGAGGTTTAAGGAGCAGGTATTGAGCTGCATTAATGAACGATAGAGAATTTGCCTGGTTTCTCAAAGGGTTGGCGCACAATTTTCTTTGACAGAAAAGGTGGTGAAAACGTCTTTATTTTGCTCTATTGCGGAGAAATGTTATATAGGGTTGAAAAGTTTTTAAAACTTTGAAAATATTAATGTCGTTGACGGGAGGCATCTAAATTTACCGCTGATGGTGGTTGTGCAAACCCAAAACTTAATTTTCAAAAAGTATTTCATAGAATTACCTCTTTCCCTTTTGTACTCATAAATGTGTGTTTGAACGCGATGCAATCTGCTCCTACAGAAAAAGAAAAAAAAAACTTGTACACATGTTTTTGGGGATTTATTTTGAATTAAACCTTCTAAAGTGCATTTCTGTACCTCACGCACTACTGTATCTTCAAACATATGCTCTTTATATTAAGATAAATAGTGTATTTGCGCTCTTAGAGCGCAGCTCTTAGGTTCCCATTTTCGGCTTAAGCGGCGTCGCCGTCGGCGTAACCGCGCGTTGCATAATTTGACGTTTCCCATAACGATGTCACACGTGACGTCACGTGTCACGTCACCTTCGTGACGTCACACGGCGCCTAAACTTAGTAGAAAATATTCCCGCTGAATATTGCGGGGAACTTTTTTTGCTAAATTTAGCGGGAAGTTTTCCCACTAAATTTGTCGGAAAAACTTCCCTGCTAAATTGAGCGGAAAACTGTCCCGCTAAATTTTCCCGCTAAATATAGGGGGAAACTGTCCCGCGAAATTCAGCGGGGAAATTCTTCCGCTAAGCTTAGCGGGGAAATATTTCCGACAAATTTAGAGCGGAAATTTCTCCGCTAAATTTAGCGGAAGAATTCACCGGGAAATTTTTTTTTTGTCATTTGTTTTGAATTTTCTTTTATGTAATGCGTTCATCGGACGCCTTTGAGGTGAATAAAATGAAATAGAATGAAATGAAATTTCACGGCAAAGTCTCCTCCGTGCCCTTCTCTCCTTCCCCTCTAGAGCTGCGCTCTAATTCGGCATTACAGAGAACTGTAAACGCCTTTCATTTTTATACGCCTTTTATTGCAGCTTGATGCTTGCTTAGTGGTTGCGGAGTTCTTTCAAATTTTATACTAGCACTATCTTCATGAACAGTAGCTTGTCATCTGGCCCTCACGAATGCAGTTCATAAAATCACAACCTACATGTGTTAGGTCACCGCCCAACACGTGCATGTTCGTCTCTTTGGAAGGCGAGCAAAGCACGCGCCACGGACGCTGAAAATGTCCCCAACCAGAGGCGCTTTTCTGGAATTGTCTATAGATATTTTGCAAAATTACGTAAGCACGAAGGAGCACATGCATGCTACAAAACTAGTTAGTAGTTATACACGTGCTAGTGTCTGGAACAGTAACCATTGTGAAGAAAATCTAAAGCAAATGGCACGTTCTTTTAGGTAAAACGAGCGTGTAGGGCGCCTGTACCCACATTCCGAAGATTCTCCGTGGTGCTTAGGTAATTTGTAAAAACATCCATTGCGTGTCTCTTCGACCTTTCTTCGCCAGCGTAACTGCCAGCTTCTGATAGAAGGAGGACGGGTTTGCTAGCGCATTCACGAAACTAGTGAGCCGCGGCCTGAACGCACCGAGTTGCAAAAATGGTTTTCTTAAAATCCCAATTGCTTCTGTTTTTTTTTTAGTTGTTTTTACATTTCATAGTTTAGCACGTGGGCCATGATCATACTTTGTGCAAATAGAGATTGTTATCAACTTCTGATAACACGAACGCCCCTGTTTTCTTGCAGTTGGACTTGAGAAAGGCGGGTGCGAGCGTACCCAATTGACGGATCGCGACACCCTGCCCGCCTGTAACGCCACGTTTGGACGGTGGGGAAAACGGGGGGAAAACGGGGGGAAAACTGGGGAGGACGTTGTTTCAGTTTCGGCAGCGAACGAAATACCACATTTTTAATTACTAGAGTGAATGTGGGGGAACGAGCTAGCGTTTAGGAATCAGGAAGTCATAGGCATTCGGTGATGTCTTTGGATTAGATAGCTCGAAAAATTAACGCAGGACCCCTTTAAGCCGCTTTTTGCTGCTGTTGAGTATCTTCTACTGAGGCTCTGCCTATAGCTGGCTGATCCATGACTGGAAAAGACGTGCCAGAGGTACCAGGAGGGAGAATTCAGCATGTGTTTTACATTGTGACTGTAGCCGTCTTTAGAGCTGACACTGAGGCTTTAAGCGTCAAGGAAACTTTAGTTTAATGTTTCAATATCTACTATGCCTCCCCGCAATAAAGCTGCTTTCATCTGCCAAATCCGCAAATTTCAACTTGCGATAAAAACAATGTCAAGATACGTGCTTTCGCGCTCCTGCGTAAAAACCAATATATAAACCAAAAAAAAAACTGTTGTCGATAGTTTGGCAATTTATCACGAATTTTGAAAGCACGTATTTTTACACTTTTCATACGACTTGTCCCGAAAATATTTTTTTTCACATCGACTTTGATGTTTGAGTGTTCAGTAAAATATTGCGTAACTTGCTGCTTTACTCCCCATTAGGAGCTAGAAATATAAAAAAAAGTAAAGCGTTGGCGTTCACTCTCCCGCAAGACATGCAAGTAGTCAACTCCAGCAGAAAAACGAAAGGATCCTAGAGATTGCCAACTCAAGAGACGATTAAGCCTGAAGAGCGTGAAAAGCGCAGAGATAATGACCAAGCGAAGCGTTATGCTCATTTTCTCGGTGCCCATCGCATTTTTCAGGTCTCGTCGCATTTTGTGTTTTCACATTCGCTCAGATACTTTCGTTTTTCGCAATGGTTGCTTACCTGCCTGTTTTGCGGGAAACTGAACGCGCAAACATTTTATGATGTATTTGAAAAACAATATTTTTTCATGTACATACCTTTTGATTTTGTCATCCAACATAGTGTAATGCAAGGGAGTTGTGAAATTATATAAGCTTTTAATTAAAGGCGTTTCGGAAGATCTACTTTGGCATTTGAATAGTATATATGAGTTTACATTACCGAGCAACACGAAACTTATTGTGCTAAAAATCATTTTTCTGGAGCATTCAATATCTAACAATGTGGACTCTGGTTAATGCTACCCAGAGTTGTATTTCAATAACTATGGATCAATCAGACTGTTGAGCACTTGTGCATATTACGTGCCATATGAACGTTCATCTGTGCCTTGGTGTGTTCCGATTTAGCTTCCTGTGCAGCATATTACGACATCTAAGCTAAGCCTCTTTTTTTCTTCTTTATAACCATTAAAACAATTTCCTTTACAACTAGGCACTCGTCGTGGCTGTAATCACTTATTATCACTAACATTGATTGCATTAAAATTATTTACAATCAATTTTTTTTTTGTGCGCCGGTTAGCTTCTGCATTATCCTTCTATAAATAAAGATTGTTTTTCATTGTTCGCCGGTCATGTGAAAATCAAGGACTTGATTAACGATATAATTAACAGTGTCAGTCACCCCGTCAGGCTCTGGTTCAGGCAATAATAACAACGGAAATTATACAGCAAGATTTGCTGATCTCATCTCTATTAGCATCAATTACGCCCGTCAGTATTCTTCGTAAGCAAGCGACCTGTGATGTGCTCGCATAGCGTTTTATGTAAGCACACGTTACTCCAAAGGGCGATTCAAAAACAAGGTCATAAGGTGCGAGGACAGCACTGAAGAGTCACCAACCGATGAATTGTGATCGCACGTGAGCAAGGCATAATAATACGTGCTTCATCCATGGGATGCTTGACGTGCTTCCCACCCGTCACCCTTGAAGGGAGGTCATATTGTAACCTCCCAAGGCACTGCACGTTCAAGGTCCACACGACAAGAACGTGCCAAACGGGTCACGGCGAGACAGCTATACCAGGGCTGATAAACAAAATCGAGTAACTGCATTTGTTTAAGTGTTTTTCATGGAGTAAGATACTCCTTTCTGGAGCTCTTCGCGGAAGAGATGACTGCGTAGATTGTAAACAGAGCAGTATAAAAAATGCGAGCTAGTCGAAGACGCTAGTGGAAATGCAAATACAGCGAACAGCGTTACCAGCCACTTATTGACCGAAAATTTACTTGCGTTTAGAAGAAGGTCAGGCAAATCATTTGACCTTAGAGACGGGATATAAATATTTTAAGAGGCTCAGTGGGCGTCCAGGAATACTAATTGTGTTTGAGGGAGTTGCGTTCTAGGAGCTTACCATCACCATGAGGAACATTAATTAAAATGGCTATAATATGCGTGTTATTTTCACCGGTGGAGAAACACAGCTCCCGTTTCTGAAAGCCATACGACCGCATATGCGGTTAAGTTGTCAAGTGAACTTTGTAGTGCTTTCATAACAACCACATTTCAGCGATCATTTTGTGCTCGTGTGTGCGTTGTGTGTAGGCACATCCCTTGTAGGTTCTATTTTATTTTAGTCTTTATTTTATATATTTCAGGCTAGCCCCTGCACAGTTATTTCGCCTCATTCACTCTCAACTCATAAAATAAATTTCAAGATAAGAAATTGTCTTTCTTGAAAAGGAAAATAAAATTAATTTAACATTTTATTTATCTATGTATGTCTTTATTTACGCTTAGGGTGTAGGTATGACATGATAAAATAATATAAGGATTGAAAAGAAATACAGATAATACAGAAAAATAAAGTATTGATCCGGCTTCTGTTCAATTAAGCTAAAGTTAGCCATATATTGTCTTTCTTTTGAGTTCGCCATGAATGACGCGATAAATAAGAGTTGATTGATTGTTTTCGTGCCCCATATTTATATCTCAAGCGCCATTTTTTTTTTCATTTTTATCTGTTGACATTTTACCGGGAACTTTTCAACTTCTTTAAAATGAGCTCCGTTTATTTTCGTAAAGTAAGGAACAACATTTCACAAAAATGTAATTAATCTAGTTTAGTTCCTTTAAGTCCGCTTACCGTAAACGATAAGCTCAAAACAAAACTGAAACCATACAGCAAGTAAACAAACTACCATCTGAGTTGTCAAGTTGGGAAGTTAAGTGTTAGGTACTGAGCAGGGAGGTAGAGCACACACAAACATGCCTGCATTTTTTTTTTTTTTGCTTTTGCACAGTTTGTGGTTGCCGATAGGGTCAGAGTGACTACGATTACGCTAAATTTACGGAATAAGGGGACGTTCAAAGGTTTCTTTTGGACGTCAGCTGAGAAACTTTACAGTACGAATAAAATATTGTGAGGTAGTTTGTAGGCATGCTCAGGAGGTGGCTTTGGACACATAACACAAATTCGATACAAAAAAGCTTGAGAATAAATATTCTTGTGGAGATCTCTCTGTGAGGCAGTAAAGCGATAAAAAGTAAAGTATCTTTGCCCGGCTTGCTTCAATTTTCTAACAAGAAAGAGAGGTACACTGGAGTTTTTATCACGCCACGTTTGTTGAATATCCGCTATGTGTTCGAAGACCCCGAGCTAACTCCAATTAAAATAAATGTATACTTTTTAGAATACACGCTTTCTCTTAAAAATACGTATTATCAAACAACGTAGATATGGCAGTAAAGAAATACACAGTACAGAAATGTGCTTCTCTACAAAAGAGTGACTTACTACGCATCAATCAAGTCATTTCCCCGCTTGTTGATGCATATATTTGTTTCGTCCGGTGTTTTTTTGTTTGTGTGTGTGACCCTGTAGTTTTGATGAGACTTCTGAATTGCTCTACTAACATTTGTAACTAGTGTCAGTAACCTGCCTACATCGAACACTAACAAGGCATATGTATTTTATTATTAAATCATTGATCAAAAGCTTCAAGATAGACACATTTAATAGCTCGTACAAAAAAAAAGAGACTGAAAGCTGATATCGTACTTGTGTAATTGTTACAGCACGTACTCTCTCAGCTTCCGCGATACGGTGGCTGCCATTCATATAAGAACACAAGAAACATTTTATTTTTATTTTCAAAAGGCTTTTAAAATCCTTTTTTTTTATTAAAATGTGACTGGAGTGTTGCCTTTCTGTATTGTGTACATACAATGCACGACAGTCAGCATAAGCAAGTGATTGCAATTTTTGCTTTCTTTCAGAATTGAAAAAGTAGTTACAAAAACTAATTGTGCAATGAAAAGTGCTCCTTCGTGGCACCTCCTAAAGTACTAAAACATTGTGCTTGACAATACCCTGTCTTAATAAACTATAAAAAACGGCAATGTCGTGTTCAATCCAACAATGGGGCGCAGTGTGCATGCGACAAAACGGCACACATCTCCCACACAACAATTGAGCTAACTGTGGAAAAACAAGTTTGCGTTTCTGTGTTTACGTTCGAGGTGTGAATATTTTGATCTTGATATATTTTGCATCAACACTCAAGAGTTGCGTGACAGTCGCGCCTATTCGTGCACTAATTGTGTGTAACACAAAATGCATTTCCCCACCCTGTTTCGAATGTGTTGCGGGTGCAGCCTCATGGGACCGTGTTAAGATAACATACCCCCCCCCCTTTCTTCAAGACTGCTTTGTATCGCTTTAATGCATGAAATTAACTATAACTTATGAAACGTCGTCTAAAGCTATGAAATTATTTGGATAAATAAATAGAAGTGTATTCTCAAAAAGCTGCGGTATAAGCGTGCCCCTCTCTCAATTTTGATGCGACGACTTTGTAATGAGACAATCGCCTCGTGCCATAATTGCTATTTTTTTTATTTAGATAACGCGTGTTATCATTTTAACCTGCGCTAAAACATTTCCTAATAAAAAATTTAAAATAAAAAGAAATAAGTGTGTATCTACAGAGACGTTTGAAAACTTTCTCTAATTAAAAAACAGTACTTTCTTTTTCTTCTTTTTTATTTGCGGCTGAGGTGTAAATGTTTCAGCGGTCCACAGTAAAATGCGTCATTTGTGTCAAAAGTGAGGTTTATTAATTTTCTCTTTCCTATTAGCCCGTCACTGATGGCCTCCCGTACATACCCGTACAGAAATGCCATATAAGGTCATATAAAGAATTGAGCAAGTAAGGCCATATAAAGCCATATTATATACATGGCCATAAATTGCCTCACTTTCCCAATTCCTCATAAATCCATATATGGCATTTCTGTAGGGTACGATCCGCCAAAACATCATTCCTTCGAATGATGCCGGACGGTAAGGGTGTGTGCGCTGAGTGCACCCTGCCTTTCTCGTCCAGGCAACATTCTATCATCAGCTGTGGTGAGTGCGACAGCAACTTCCACACAAAATGTTTGAACATTTGTGCTGAGGATTACAACGTTCTTTTTCGCGACGAAGTTAGCATTTACAAGTGGCGTGTCTTGTAAATGCCGCGAGCCGCACTTTAACGCGCGAAGAGCCTCATGCGACTCGCGGCCGCAGCTTGGCCACCCCTGCTCTAAACGAATGCGTTGATGCTTTGGACGTGTTTTTCAGTAGTCTTGAAACTTATCATGTTGCTGGTGTCAGTAGTACGATCGTTCCAGTTGGTTTGTGGCATGTCCCATTTTCTCTTAATCTTGAAGTGCAAGTTGTACCTGTCAACAACATAACCATATCTAGGTTCGATTATGCCAATGGCTCTTATCTCGACCTGTTTCCTTTTTATCTACGTACGCTTGAGTTGACGTGCTTCGCTTAGATTCCGTCGACGAAGCGGTCGCTGCTTTAACGGAGGTAGTGCTGAACGGAATGCAAAACTTAATAACAAAAAAGCGAACTCGTCGATCCATCAGATACCCCCCTTGGTTTTTTCACGAACAGAAACGTTTCATGCGCAAGAAATGAAGTTTATGCCAGGTTCAAGATATGCAGAGCTACTGTTAATACTCTGTATAACCGTAGTAAAATATCGCATCGAAACAACGTTGAAGACAACGTTTCTAAGCGTCCACAGAATGTTGGGCGCATAGTTAAAAAGCGCACG